TTCCTTGGGAATAGCTAACTAAAACACACAGTACAATTGTCCCCAATAAAAACTTCCAAACCCATCCAACTTTAGAAAAATATTGCTGTCACCTACTTAAATATCATGAGAAGGTCTTGTTTTAGTACAGTGTCTTAAGATGGAATTAAATTAAGAAATTTTATAATGTCTCAGGAAGAAATTAAGTAACTGGACAGCAGCCTTGTAAACAATCAGCTTCCAACATAAATACTTTCATGTTTGCCAGGATAAGAGTTGAGAAATGCTATAATAGACTGCAATCGTATCTATCCATTTATCCAGCACAAACTCCATAGGCTTTTACTTACCAGTGAATGAAAGGAGGAGAATGACAGTATAGTATAAGGAATTGGGTCAAATTGATCCCTGGTGTAATATTACTGAAATCACTTGAGTGACACACAGGGTGAGACTGAAAACTGTGAGTAACTTGCAAGAATAAAATACAAGAGAGTCAACTTTTAAGACCTAAATGGCCTTTAGCAGAGGCTCTGCTTGAGTTTCACAGCTATGTTTGGCTGTTCTTAATCACTCCCGCAATAGGAAAAAGCCAGAAATCCATTGTAACCAGATTCTTGGGTCAGATTATCGCTCTTTTGCATTACTAGACCAACAAAAACTTTATTATAAAAAAATCATGTGTTTGTCTGCATGACTTTGAAGAAAATCTAACAACGCTACAGGACTATAATGGGGTGTGTACCCCATATGGGGCCTGAAAGAGCTAATGAGGGCTGGAAAGGCCAGTTATGCTCCTGGACACACCAAAAGGAAAAGCTAAACGTAATGAAACATGAGTGTCAGCAGGGATAGAGCTGTGTGGTTATTAAAAAGCCAGGAAGTTCAAAGCAGAAAGGGGCTTCAGGGATAGTATACAAACAGTCTCTGAAACTGGACACTCTGATTCGAAAAGGTAACACAGAGAAACTTGTTGGGGGACATTTTAATTTGCTTGGGCACTCATTAATGGAGCTCAAAGTCACTGTATTATTGCAAGCCAATTTAAAAAAACAGCTTGAAAGGGAAGCTGCAGAGCTTAATTTCATTGACAAGTTTGATACCTACAACAGAGGTTTAAACAAAGACCTTAACTGGATTACCCTACTACAGCCTAACGACATGACATAAAAAGCCAAACACCGGGTACTTAAGAACACTTAGTACCCACTCCATCAGCTTCATTTAGCATGGAGGCACTAATTGACAATATTTCCCCCCTTTTTTCCCTTTCTTTTTCCTTCTCTTCCCTCCCACCCTTACCCTCTCTTTCTCTGCTATTTATTTGGAAACTGGACCCCTTAAGTCCATTCATCTAAAGAAGTGGGTTGTGCCCACAAAATCTCATGATACTATCTACATTTTTGGTAGTCTCTAAGGTGCTGCTAGACTATTCATTTTTTAAGTTTTTTCAGTTACCGATTAACACAGCTACCCCTCTGAAACTTCTGAAAACAGAGAGATGGGAAGAGGAGGCTCAGGGATCCTCCAGACTAGGAGAAGGCTGAGAAGAAAAGTTGGGAGCAGAAGAAGGGAACACCCCCAAAATGCATGCCCAGACAGAAGAGCAGGACTGGGCGAAGACTCTGAAAAGGGAATTAAGCTCTGAAACAGGGGCAAGGAAAAAGTCCCAGACTAAAGGGAAAAGAAACAATAGAAGGGCTTGCAGAAAGGAACTTGTACCCTGAGACTGTCCCTCCAGAGAAGCAGCGCAAGGGACAGTGGCTTAGGAGACAGCCCTCTGTGACAGAGTGAGGAGGAGTTCTGCAGAGCTCCAAGAGTAGGGCAAAGAGTGCAGAGTACAGATTATAGGAAGGACAGAAGAGGGGGATTTGTTCCTTTGAGTTGGGAAATTATTATTCAGGAAAGGGTGGACTAAGTCACCACCTGGCTAGAGGGCTGAGTCACAGGAATGAGAGTGCCAGAGTAAACATCAGCGGGGGCACCAGACAGGAGACAGCTGCTACCAAAGGAAAACGCTCCTCCACTGAGTGCAGTGCTTCACAAGTAACTAAGCATAATATTCTTAAATCAAACCTGCTTACATAAATATCAGTTTCCCAAGCTATGTCTAGACTGCAAGCTGCTTTCAGAAGAAGCTTTTCCAGAGGAGATCTTCTGGAAAAACTTTTTTCGAAAGAGAGTGTCCACATAGCAAAAGCTCAATGAAAAACTGATGTGCTTTTTCAAAAGACACCATCCACAATGATTGGACACTATCTTGAATTTAAGTTGTGATTAGTATGGACAGAATGGCCACCAGGGCACCTGTGTTATTTTGTGGAGGCCTCTTCTTTCGAAAGAACTCCAGGTATGTCTACTCTACAAAGTTAATTCGAACTAACGGACGTTAGTTCGAATTAACTTTGATAGGCGCTACACTAGCGCTCCGCTAGTTCGAACTTAATTCGAACTAAAGGAGCGCTTAGTTCGAACTAGGTAAACCTCATTCTACGAGGACTAAGCCTAGTTCGAACTTACTAGTTCGAATTAAGGGGTGTGTAGCCCCTTAATTCGAACTAGTGGGAGGCTAGCCCTCCCCAGGTTTCCCTGGTGGCCACTCTGGCCAACACCAGGGAAACTATATTGCCCCCCTCCCGGCCCCGGACCTCTTAAAGGGGCACGGGCTGGCTACGGTGCCCGTGCCAGGTGCAAGCCTG